GAAAGTCGGCCTCACTTCCTCTCACTGACCCTTCAGGAGGGAGGAAACTCTGCCTCACTTCCTCTCACTGACCCTTCAGGAGGGAGGAAACTCTGCCTCACTTCCTCTCACTGACCCTTCAGGAGGAAGGAAACTCTGCCTCACTTCCTCTCCTGACCCTTCAGCAGGAAGGAAAGTCTGGCTTTCCCCAGCAGGGCAGTGCTGCTCTGACCTACGCGTGCTTCAGGACATGAGATGTTAGTGAGCGCTTGGTCCCAAAGAGCAGGATCAGGGAAAGTGAGTGCTCCAGACACGCCAATCATGGTGCCCATCATCCCACAGCCACCCGGAGGCTTCTGCCCAGAGCCGAGGATGACAGTGCCCAAGACTCTGGAGTGTGAAGGTGGAAATGCTGTGAGAATGAGGGAGGTGGCGGGGGCTGGAGGAAAAAGGGGTGTCATGCAGCCTGATACAGCAGGAGTGGAACAGGGCAGAATCTGCACAAGAGCTGGGGGAGCAGCCAGGCCCCCTGGCCCGTCAGCCAGCCTGTTTCAGGGTGTGTCGAGCAAGTCCGTGCTTCTTCCAGTTACACAGTCGGACTGTGCAGAAAGGCAGTGCCAACATCCTAGGAACCTGCACCTCCTTTCTGGCCAGTCAAATCCGCCCACAAGACTTCTCTCCCGGCCCCTCCCAGTCCTGGGAGGTCCCATCTGACCCCTCTCTACGTACGCAGAGGTAAGTACCACAAGGAGCTTCATTCTGCACGTCCCAGGGCCTGGAATTCTGTGTGGCATGGAGTGAGTGCTCTTTGTATATACTACTTGTGCCATAAAATAATTCTCTGAGTTCCCCGGGGAGAGCCATCTGGTCCTCGGGAGGCCACCACCGGTCTTCCATCTGCGCTGAGTCAGCATCTCTGTCATCTGGCCCCTTCTGACCTCCCCTGCCTGCCGAGGGAGGGATGAGTCCATGCTGCTCATCACAGCATCCCCAGGAGCTCAGCACAGGAATGGGAGCGATGGTCCCTGCTGTCCTGGAGCTCCTGTGGCTCCACACCTGGGGCTCACAGGAAGCCGCACCTGCACAGGCTCTGGTCCCGTGGCCACTGCCCTCAGGGCCTCACCCGCAGCAGCCTCAGGACCTCTCTTCTTTCATGCTCTCTGCATCTGACCCAAGAACCCCCTATTTGCACGCCTCCATCCCCCACCACTGCCCTTGCCTCGGCTCCTGACTCTGCGTGGTCCCCAAGGCCCCCGCTCCTTGCTCTGGTCCGAGACAACGCAGGCCAAGTGCAAATAACAGCCTGGGCAAGGGACACGAGCTGTACTGACTTTATTCCCCTTCGCTCTTCTCACTCGCGTGCCTTGATGCCCACACTCCGGGGCTGTGGGCCGCCTGTACACGACCAGATGTCAGTGGTCTCAGCACATGCCTGGGCACGGCCATTCTGCCACCACCAAGCCCTCTGTGAAGGGCACCAGGGAGACTGTGGGAGCAGGAGGGGTCGAAGGCTCCCAGAACTGTGGCCACAGGGCTCGAGTTTGTCACTCTTGCCACTCATTCCCCAGCTGGCCCGAGACCAGAGAGCCCCAAGGGGCTGGGGAGGGGGCAAGCCCAGGCTTCAGACATGAGTTCTGACCAAATGGACCATGGGACCCCCAGTCTCCTTGAGAGGGGGTGATCCTGTGTTCCCCTTCTTCCAGCCCTGGGAAGTGGGGATGGGGCCCCAGTCCCCTCATTCTGACATCTGGGGGCACACTGTTTAAAATAAAAAGGAGATATAAAAGCTGGAAAACAGGAACCCCTATCCATACCGGCACTGCTGAGGTGCCATTATTGCTTCTGGCCTTGTGGTCTGGCCAGAAAGGAACCCCCACCAGCAACCGCCCGAGTGAAGAGTGTTTAGCACCAGGGACGCAGGCTCCTACCCCAGTGTGACAGGGGTCTCCCAGGAGAGGGGCTCGTTGTGCCCACCTGGAGCTCCTGTGACCATCTTGACCAGTCCCTGGGCAGCTGTCTGCACC